ATGGAGATATTTAACGGATTGCGAAAATTTCATTTCAGAATCACGGGAAAAGGTTATTTTATTTTTATTCTTTTTTTTAAAAAAGACATTTCTTCCATTGTTTCATTTATTGTAATTTATGATTTCTTAATAGTATGGAACAACGTTTACGATATACGTGCTCGGCAAATTAGAGACAATAACTGGAAAAGAAACAATTCGTGAGGTAGTCAAAAACGATGATCTTAGTTTTTATGATAGTCCTGATATGGTTAGTAATTAAAAACTTTCTAGTAAATGTAGTAAATTTATTATAATATTATCATTTTTAAACAATTCTTTATATTTGAAAAAAGCATATGTTAATGCATGAGATATTTCCCCACATCTCGGATATTAAGAATCCTACCAGTACATCTCTTAAAATAGTGAAAAAGCTCGTCATAACAAACGTAAAGCATCTTATAAGTAGGTTACAACGATCTATTACAAATCATATAGATACCTATATTGGCGAATGTGTTGGTAAGCTCGTAAGATCTTGATAGTGAATTGACTTATATAACATTTTATAGATGTTTAAAAGGAATGTTTAATTACTATAGAACCAAAGGTTATTAGTGACCCATATGAATTTTTATATACTATGATTTCGGAATTAGCTGCTAATATTATTGTTGGTGAAGTATGTATTGTTTATTTTTATATAAAATTTCTTCTCGCTATTAACTTAGATACCCTTATACAAAATTAGGAATGTTGTCAATATGAAGATATTTTAGAAACTTTTAGAAATTTAACTTATTCAGTTATAAGAATTTTTTTTGCACCAAAATTATTATTCTTTATACATCCCTGGTTTCATAAACAACTTATAATGTAAGTTTTCTTAAGTCTTATAACAAAATTTTAAATTTAGTTACTTTACATTATAGGTCTGAAATTAATTTTATTGGTTAATTTCAGCAACATGCTAATGTCATCATTCCCGTCCTTTTGATTCACAGGGGTCCATATTTTTTGATTCATAAAAAAAAGGCCCACTTTTTTATTAGAGTTAGAAGAGTTAAGTTATATAGAGATAGTATTAAAAAATAGGCCTTTTTATGAATCCAAAATGATGGACCCCATGAATGTGTTTGCCATTCCCGACAATAAAAAATATAATATATTTTTCGACAGACTCAGTATACTTTTTATTATGTTTCTAAAAAATCTAGTTCTCATTTTTACTACATTTTGAAAATTTCAAATCCGATTGTCCGTGCATACTAATATATCTTTCAATAAAACTTTTTATTATTGTTTTTTTTTTAATAATTTAATAGATTTCCTTTAAGGTTTATTTCAAACCATAAAGACGTAATTATCAATCGTATCAAACCAATTATCAAAAAACGCCTTGCAATTAAAAAGAAATTAGGCGACGATTGGGTTGCTCCTGTAAGTTATTTATGAAATGAAAAATTTTTATTATGTTAACATTTAACTTATTTTAATAAAAAAATAGGTAGATGCACTACAATTTTTATTAAACGAGCCCTTTATAGCTCCAGATGTCGATCCAAATAATGTAAATTACGATTATATTGTTGACTCAATTGGAATATTTATATTTTCTTCTATGACAGGCACGTCTTATTCGTACTTCACATCTTTTACAAGGTTAGTCATATTCTATTACTTTTGCATTATAACTAGTTATATTTTAAGTAATACATTTATTTGAAAATTAGATTTGGCAAGAAAGAAAGAATACTGGCAAGAATTATACGAGGAAGCTAAAGAAATTCATG